GGTTGGAGGGGCTGGAGGGAGGTTGATGAGGGTTGGATGGGAGGTCTGCGACATCTTTGCTGATGGTATATGTGGGTGCTGGAGGTGAGGCTTCGTGCGAGGCTGAGGGCAACTGATAATAGGGGTTGCGACACACGGAATCTGTGCTTTCTGAGTTGTAGTCCGACGATGCCGACGAGGTACAAAGACGAAGTGGGTGGTGTTATCCACGCGTTTGGCTGGCTCGCTGTTATTACTTGTTGATGCTAAAGAGACGACGAACAAAACGCGACGGAGATGGATATCAGAAGCAGCTGGATGAAACGGAGAAAGGATCGCTCGGTGGACTTGCATGCGCTGCTCCCATCCCAAAGAAAGACCGAGCGACGGCTTCCCGGGGCTGCTGGACGGTCTGAAGTCGCGGAGGGTGTGGGGCCATGACGTCTGACCTGGGAGTCTAACCAATCACAGCACGAGATGCACCCTTATGGTTCGACGCTGCGGGGTCAAGCAACTGTTAAGCTTTGAGCTCAGCGGGACCCGCTCCATGACAGCGGCAACGACGACTCTCTCTCTCTCGTGGTGAGAATAGCATCAGATACAGCGACGCTTCATTTATGATAACAACAAGAAGAAGATATTCTTGTATCATTCGTATTAAAACTTCCCAGGCATAAACCCCACCACCTCCGTCCTTTCCACAATCCCCTTTGCACCCTCCCAAAAAGCAGCATACGCCGGGTCTGTCTTGAGATAATATTCCCTGTCCTCGTCACTGTCGAACTCGCTCACAAAGGCATGGGTTACTCTGTCCTGTTTACCCCTTCAGTATACTGTTATCATCTCCCTAGAAACCACAGATGACAAGGAAAAGAACGCACTTGGGCGTCACTCATGTGCGTATTCACCCCTCCAGTTATATTCTTCATATACGGCCGGTTGGTCTCTGGATGGAGGCAGGTGTCTTTAAGCGCTAGGAGCTTGTCACAGACCTGACACAAAAATGGTAAGAGTTAGCCTTCTTGACTGGGTGATGAAAAGAGGTGGGTGGCTGTTTGGCCATGACTGACTTCTTGAACCTCCTCCGGTGTGGCCAGCGGTTTGAAGCTGAACATCACCACGTGCATTACGCCCATGTTGACTGTTTCTTGCGAGAAGTTGAAGATGAAAGATGATTCTTGTGTGTCTTGTTTTGCTTGATGATGATGATATGCCTGAACTTCCAGTGGAGGTGGTCAATCTGATGCTTTTGAGGGTCTGATCTTTGTGCTCCCACTCATCCAACCCCGCATCCATTACATCACTGTTCACCAACCAAAACCGTGATCGATCAGCAGCATCTCGACCAAAAGTCACCTGTTCCAGGCCTCACTCACCAGGCTCACAAATCAGGGGATGATCACCTGCTCTGAATGCAACAATGCAAAGAACCATAAAAATGGAATTGTGTGGGTATCTGGTACGAAACCCATCTCATGCAAATATGCGTAAATCAAGGCCAAAAAAATTAACATACAGAAAAAACCATCACCCCATCACCCCTAAGCCTTGCAGCACCCCTTCATCTCCCCCCCCGTAACAGCCAACCCATCCACCTTCTTCGCCAGCTCATCAGCCGTATTCAACGCAGTACTGCAGTTGAAACTCTGCTTCGAACTCGGCACATCCAACGCCGGGTTCTTGTCAAAAAAGTTCACCGGCCTCAGCATAACCTTCAACATCTCCATCGGCATAACCGGGAAATCTTCAACCCTGGGGATGTGATTGATCCCAAAATTCACCCACAACACCGGGTCCTGCTCCTTTGTCAAATCTTCCTTCCTCTCGGCCCAGCTCCTGACTCCCTTGCCGCCATGGCTCTGGTTGGTGTACTTCCCGCCCGCAAACAGCTCCCCGTCAACATACTTGGTGACATAAAAACTCCGATCGGCAAACTCGGCGCGCTTGTAGTGGTAGCTGTCCTTGTCTGCGAGGATGGGTTGGAAGGGGGGCACGTGAACCTTGTAGCCTACCGGGAGCTTGTTGACCGTGTTCTTGACTGATGGGTTGAGGATCTTGAACGTCCGGTTCTTGCTCGGGTCGAGGTCGTAACCACCGGTGGTGTCGATGACCGTCTTCTTGACCATGTAACCGTGGCCGTTGGGGTTGAGCTTAGGGTCGCGGGGCATAGCCTCGGCTTCTTCGTACGCGATCTGGTTGCCGTGGCCGCCGATCATGGGGTCGACGCGGAGGGAGAAGAAGTGCTGGTGGTAACCGCCGAGGACGCCGGGGTGGACGACGGTGCCAAAGGGGTGCGGTACCTCGGTGAGGTCGAGGTCGAGAGGCTGGGTGGACAAGATACCCGTTGCCCTGACTTCGTACGTGATGTCACCGGCTTGGTTGAAGATGAAGGCGAGGATGTACTCGTAGTTGCTGACCGTCAGGATAGACTGGAGGACGAGCTCGCGGTTGCGGACGACGACGGCGCGGTTGGTGCGGTAGTTGGTGTGCTTCCAGAGGAGACCAGAGTCTTGCTCGTGGATGCAGACGACGTTGGGGGCGTCGACGGGCTTGCCTTCGGCGTTGCCGAGAACAGAGGAGATGTAGTAGATACTGCCGAGGCAGTCGCAGCCGAGCTGGAGGTTGTTGGCTGTCAAACCAGCACCGACGTCACCCAAGTCAAAGGCACACTTGCGGTGGAAAGGGTTGCGCGGGTCACCGTAAGGGATGGCCATGTCGGAGAGAGACAGGCGGTAGAACAAGGGGCGGTTGTCGTAGTGAACATCGTAGAGGACCATGCCCTCTCTCTGGTTGAAGCCGACCTTGAAGTCCCACTTCTGCCACTTCAGTGTCCGGCCGAGCTCAGAAAAGGGCTCAACTGTGAAAGAGGCTCCCTCAGGCTGGACAACCTGGAGAGGCTTGAGGTCGGTGCGCATGGTGTGGGCTTCAGGGATGTACTCGTTTGCTGGGCGGTCCTGCCATGTGAAAGGCTTGATGGTCTCGTCATGGCCGGTAGGCATGATGTCGATACGAACCAGCTCGAGGGTGGCCGGGTCAATGACGGGAGAGACGGGAAGGGGGAAGGAGTAGTGGCAGCTGTCCTCTTCGGATGAGTTCTTGGGGTCGCGAAGGTAGAGGTTGCATTGCATGACACGCTTGTCGTCGAAGAACTTGGCCTCCTTGATGCCGTCGGCACCTGTATAGTGTTAGTTCATGTTCGGGTTCCCAAGATCAGCAAAAAGACATACCATAAATCCAAGGATCCATTACAACCACCGCCCCCTCGGGAAGACCCAGCTTCTCAATCTCGGCCTTCACCTCGGGAATCTCCAGCACGGCCTTCTCAACCTCCTCAAGCTCAGCCATATCACTGTTGGGGTGCTCAAAAGGCCCAAGCTTGGCGTTGAACTCGACCTTTTGAGTGGTCAAGTTGACAACCGCCTCATGGACATTGTGCTGTAATGGAGTTTAGCATTTTGAGCAGTGACGGTAGAGTGGAAGGGCAGACTTACAGTTCCCCTAAGTGTATAAACAATAAAAGACTTCCTCTCAAGCGGCGCAGGCTTCTCACCCGCCCTCTCAGCAACAAGCCAAGGGGCAAGAATCTTCTTCTCGGGCTCATGAAGAGTGTTGACCTTGAACTGGAGCTTCGTCCCTTCAGGCCACACAGACCTAACCAAGTCCGCACCCTTGCTGATCTCCTCACCAGTCAAAGGACCAAGAGGATGTGTTACCGGCGCAGCCTTGGTCGCCTCGCTGGAAACAATAGCAGCCTTGACCGCAGCAGTGTTGTCAGTCTCGATGACCGGGGCCTGGGCGGCCTTTGCGTCTTGATTGGCAACCATTTGTGAGGATGTGGCGAGTGTGTCTGTGTTGTGTGATGAAAGGAGAAACAAGTGAATCAACCAAAGAGGATATCCCCTTTATATATATCAAAACCATTTACTGAGGCGGAGTGCAGGGAGAGATGAATGAACAGTTACTCCACCCTATCCTCATTGATAATGATAAGACAGACAGGTCGAGATACGGAATAGCTAGCCCAATCTGTTCCTAAAAACCGCAGGTAAATGGTGGGTTCGCATCCCGGTTCTTGGGCGCCCAGCACTTGTCCAATCTTTTGTGCCGTTGACTGCCGTTGCTGTCTTTGGTGTGCCGGTGTGGCGGACGCATACGTTGTCCCCACGTGAACCTACTTCGTCGACCATCTGTTCTGTTAGAGTCTGCCATAGATTGTTCCTCGCTTCCGTTACCGTCAGGACCCCGCCCTGATATGCATGGGCTTCCGTGACACTTGCTCGACATCTCACACTAGTATCAACAGGATATCCTGGTGTAAGCAAGAAACAAAGAGTGACACTTTCGATCGGATGCAGGGTGGATGGAGGTGTTCGATAAGGCGGGAAAGCCCCGCTCGCTTACCCCGCTGATCTCCGCATCCGCGTTCCGGACACATCGGAAATGTCATGCTCCAGGCCGAGATTCTGAAAAAGTGATCTGAACTCCAAGAAAAGGTGTAGTAGAAAGGCACAAGACTTTTAGATTCCGGTGTATGAACTGTAGATAGAAGTCTGTATGCGTGTCCAAGATCGATGTCCAAAAGGCTGAGCCAGCCCCGAGATGCACGCTGTGCTGTGGTGGTGAGATCGGTTACCAAGCCAAACCAAACGAGAGCGGAGGGGTTCACAAAAAGTCCAATCACAAGAAGGAAGACGTAACCCTCCAAGACCCTGTAACAAGCCAAAGACGGGAATACCATCTGTGCAGCTCCTCCATCCATCCCGGCATTGGCCCCTGAATACCTTCAACCCTGCTGTTGCCGTTAAAAAAGCAGCTCTTAAGTCCAAGAACCACCTCGCCACGAGCCTTGTCAACACTGGCACTGATGACAAAAAGGCCATCCGAGTCTCTTGGGCCCGCATTCCTCGGCGTATCACCGCAGCGGACAACAATCTCAGTTGGTGTCTTCTCAACAACCTCAAAGTGGTCAGTCAGCTGTGTACCTGGCTCATAGGTCGACTTGGATAGCTGGTCAGCAGTCCATAGCTGGGCAGCGGTGGCGGGTCTCTGGTATTTCCGGGCAAGATAGGCCCGTTGAAAGCGATATCCTGCAGGAGATGTAAAGTTAGTTCCAAAAATGGATATGGCGTGGTTTGTGACTGATAGGGTGGGCGGTGGATGAGGGTGAGCCTCACCTAATCCTCCCCAGACACCACGGCAAAACTCCAGAGCCAGATCGCCCTCGCGCTGGAGGAGCTCGGGCTTGATTTTATCAAGTGGAATGCGCTTGTAGACGAGGTCTTGCGTTGAGGCATTATTGTGTCGGTTGTATTTGCGGAAGCTCTTTGAGCGCCATAAGGGGTCGTCTTCGGGCAGCGGGCTCTCAAGGCGGGTGGTTGTGCCAAGATAGCCAACAGTTCCGGCCGTGGCCAGGAAGGCAGTCGTGAATGTTTTGCGGATGATGCCCATGTTTGTTGGTTTGTTTGTTGTCGCTGCAAGAAGGGTTCACCTGGTCTCGGTTGTATTGAAAGGATGGTGGCCGATGGGTTGGCCACTGTTGGGTGACCCGATCGGTTGGACGGGCGGCTGGACGGCTGCGGCACGGTCGGAGGTTGGCTGGGTGGGTCGAAAGATGAGGGGCATCTCCCGATTAATTGGTGCATTTTGATTGGCTGCAGTGGATCAGCCCTATTCCGCTTCTAAGATGGGCAAGTCCACTTACACGGGACTTATCGGCAGGGCACATGGCCTGAAGGCCGCTACCACGGCGCTGGTAAGACTCAACTGCTATCGGATTTGTGTTTGCAACATCAAATTCATATTACTGAAATTTTGGATCACTTATCGGGAGTCGATAAAGATCCCCATCTGTGTTATTTTCCTGAATCTGGAGCTGAGTGCTTGAGTGAGTCGATTCATGTGGAGCACGTTGTCTTTTATCATTCTCACCCATCAACTTCGATCATGACATGTCAAATTACCAACTACACTCCTGAGGCGCCATCGTGGCGTTTATCTATTTTTGGTTTTCCTAAGCAACCTGGCTTAGCTGGTTAGTTCCCCTACTTCAGTGCCACCTCCCCCAATACTATTCCAGAGTCCATCCACGCCCCTGACCACTATGGTGAGGAAATAGGTTCACTACCTTCGTCGTCTTTGCCGGTATCGGCATCATCATTATAGGCGCCTCGGGTTGTGATGGTTGAGTCACAACACTCTGCCCAACACTTCTCCTCGCTCCCTTCCGTCCAAACAAACTCGTATACAACATCAGATACGGTTCTGTACTACACTACCACCCAGCTGACCAGACACACGGCCACACCCATGGCCATACATGTAACATACTGGCAACAAAAGAAGAGCGAAATCATTCAAGAGGGAGTAGAGCGGGAAAAGAAAGAACTCTCCACGCCAGAAATTTAGAAACGTGAGATCCTTACTGTTGTCTAACAAGCTTAGACAGGAGATCCTTTTGGATTTAACCGATGAATTGCGAGTTAACAACATAATGAAGACCGAGACTGCCCAGAATATACACGGCCTGTAAATATGTGCTGGCTTGAGCTCGTTGTTTGTATCTTGGCTTGGTGTTGTGTTTGTCTGAGGATTGTGAAGCATGGTGGATACAGGCTCAAAAACAGGTATGACTGCCCTTGTGTTGATGGGTATGATATTCCGAGTTTAGTTGCTTTAGTGATTTTCGATAACAGGAAGTTGGCTAGGTAAGGTAGATAGTTCGATAGCAACCTGGAATTTGAGGAGCGGCACTTTATATACCTAAAGGGAGGTACAGTAAACTGACCAACATAATGGAGCTGGAAGGAGAAGGAACTGATAATGGATCAAGAAGTGAACTCAAATTTATTGAGATATTGTGACCGAATGATTGGCCCTTATAGACTCAAATTTGCTCTGACTGCCACAGAGGTTAAACTTTTATAATTATCTGCCAGGCTTTTGTCACCAAGGTATCTGACCAGAGGTAACTTTGTCATTGACGCAAACAGCTCTGTTCAGCCACCATTGCTTGACTCATTGGTATTAATCCAGTCATGTGGATGAGATCGCATCCGGGACCAAAGGTTTAACCCATCACCAAGACTGGTCCCTCTCCTTCTCTTCACTGCGTCCTGTTCTGTGTATCCGATTCCTCATACCGAGGAGGCGGTGTTTCATTCCCAGATTGTGTGGCTGTTACACTTGCCCCTGCGTGAGCTTGGGAGCTCTCAACATCCGCCATCCTGTGGTGTAAGATACTTAGGTTCTCTGCAGTCAAAGTGCGACTTTGAAGCGAGCCCTTCTGTGCTGCTGATGTATTGATCCGAGATTGTTGGCTGGTCGAACCGCGCCCACGGGACCTAGAGCGTCTTTGAGTGTATGTATTTGGCCTCGGTTGTTCTGCGGCTGTATGTCTAGACGGCTTCGGCACTGCCGTTCTTGCTCGTTCTGGTGCGGCCACCATAGGGACCTGAGGTTGCGGTGCAGAATTCACAAGCCCTGTCCCAGGGGCTGCTCCCTCTCCTCTAATTGCAGAAGGAGCTCGGTCGGTCTCGCTCTCACCCCCAACCTCCAGGTCGACATCTGTCTTGCTTTTGTTCTTAGCCTTCTTATTTTCCTTCTCAAACTCAGGTAGATTGAGACAAGGGCACTCCACCCCACAGCACGTCTTGATACCGATCTTCTGCACCACTGCATAAGGCAGCACAGACAAAGACCCAGACGTCATAACGACAAGGAAGCCACCCAGTCCTACAACCAAGAGAGCCGGTAATGCAAACACAAACAGGAAATAGAGCATAAAGTAACACGGGAACAAGCAGCCCTCCTGCCGGCAGACCCTGATACACTTGGGTTCGTCATCGGCCCATGCACACGAACACACCATCGCACTGGCGAGAAGGAAGGATATCACAGCCCAGATGATGGCAGCGACTATCACTATTGATGTTGACCGGTTTCCGGTGAGGTTCATGAACCACTCATCGATTGATGGTGGCATGTCGTCCATGTTCCAGGTTCTTTGCGGTGATGGTAACGGCTGGGGTGATGATGATGCTGGCAAGCGTTGATCCGGACAAATGAACTTGGATGAATGGATGCAGCTTCGTGATGGCGATGAATCGTGAAAAATGGGATTCCGGGTGCGGTGTAGGTAATTTTGCAGGAATTCACTGCCTCAAACTTGCTCTGGTTAATCATTGTTGTTAAAGTTTGCAAGTGACTGCGGCACTCAACAGCCACCGACTTCATCGGCGTCATTCTCCACCGCGGGGATAGATTCAAGTTGTCAAGGTGTAAATTGCAAGAAGGGTATCTCTGAGGGAGTGTAAAAAACTCTAGGATCTAAAATACATGATTTAAAGGATACAAAATTGAAGTGAGGTTGAAGTCCATCTCTTGCCGTGAATGTTTGTTACATCAATGAGTGAGAATACATGATTTCGTTCTTCGAGAGCTAAACGCACATTGTAAGAAAAGGCCAATGACAAAAGAGGGAAAATACAGAAATGAGATCTTTGGCTTGAAATGAGGGGTATCCGGTGGTCTAATAAACAGCATGACAAAAGGAAGAAATGGCGAGGTGCCAGGCAGGTACCGCAGAACGCGATCATAAACGGTAACTTTAACGAAGAATTAGCACAAGTGGAGGATCGCAATCTGGACAGAGGGCGTACCAGAATAATACGAGAAAAAAATTAACCCATCGGTAATCATAAAACATGCCCATCTTCATCGTCATCCTCAAACATAAGCGTGGCAGCTCCGACACCGTCTCAAGTTAGGCGTCGATGGCCTTGGAGTGGGGATCCACCTCCGGCAACGCTCATGGTTGCGGCCCCGGCAGGTGGCCCAATC